AGAGGACAAGCTTAGAGAATGAGTGAGATGTCAGTAGGTACACCTGGTTCAACAGGTGAACAGATTACTACTTCTTGTAAATCCAGAAAGGTCAAATCTCACAGTCCATCAGACTGGAGTGGTCAAGGTATAACAATTTCTGTGGCCACGGACTTTGATAATGATGTTCTCAGTGTTGTTAATGATAGGAAGGCTGGATTAATAAGTGATCCAGAAGAAAATTTGAATGCATAGAGGACATAAAGAGAATTTATTGAATGAAGAATTTCCTGGACAATGCACCACATCCTTTGACATTGTAAATGGTGATAAAATTCCAACAGTTAGGGTGGACTTCTAGCTCACTTTACGTGCCCCGGTGGCAGTTTTCCAGTTCCATATATGTCATTTTTGGTTAGGGGGGTCTACAACAAGGATATCCCACTTCTTTGGCAAGTGCCTGAACCACTCCCATATTGGACTAAAACATGGGAGGCAAAAATAGCTGCCTGCCCAGTGTATAGCTTATGGTGCATGATTGGTAGGTTCACACTGCAGGGATAGTACTGCAAATAGCCTAACTTTAAAAAATGCCACTTACTGACTGGAAATCTCCCCTTAGTGTCACTGAAAGTAAGAGAGAAGTAAACTGAAAAATGGGAAAACAACAAAGCCAGATATTACCAACAGAAGGAGATGAAGATGAAGGATTGTTAGGAAAGATTCTGGATTGATGGCAATATCACCCTCTCTTTAATAAAAAGGTAGTAAGTATAAATGTTCATTCCACGAAGTGTATGCAAAGGTTATTGAAACTAGAGTCAGACAGCAACAGAGATTACTGGCAGCTAGTTTAGTTTCAGAAAATGAAAGAGTGCAACACATCCTATGTTCGCCCTCAGAATTCTACAGGTAAGAAAGTAAGAACAATTACACAAGTAACAGCTATGGAAAGCTCTTTATGAACAATGCTTGAAATAGTATGCATGCATATAGTGGGAAAACAGAGGGCAATAAGTTGCTAAGAATTTATTGAATGCAGTGGTACCAGTTGTTAGACCAAGAGGAAGACCTGAGAAATGGCTAGATCAAATAAAGGAGTATGTGAAAATAAGAAAAATAACAGATCAATAGAGCAATTAAGATAAAGGAAGATTTAAACTACCAGCTGACCCATCATTAGGATACAGTTGAAAAAAGGAGGACCTGTAGCCAATGCCAGACAAGGAAGTGAAGTGGCTAGCATTACACCTTGCTTTCTTTGACTCCTTGGCTGGAGCAACAGGTACTCAGTTATTTCTGGGTCAAGTAAGGGCAGCTATTAGAGTGAGTATAGAGCAGTGGTTTGAACCTTTTTTAGACACAAGGAACCCCTTGTTAGACCTAAGGCACCTCTCAGATAATTGCAGACTTTCGTTTTCACTCATTTTTTGACTACAGAAAAATAATAGAGTAATTCTTCTGTGGTAAAGAACTCAGAAAGATCACAACAGGTCAGAATGTCTTTGACACTATGGATGTTTGTTAGAAATCTCTGGGTTTATCTCATGAATCACGTGCATGTGTTTGTACACCCAACAGTGCTACTGGTGAGTTGCACTCCATTGCATCTTTAAAAGGATCTCATAGTACCCCAAGATGTCATGGCACCCTGGCTGACAATCATTGGTCTAGAGTGTGCAAATAGGGTGGGTGAACAGAAGGTTAAATCACCATTGTCATAGAAGGGGCTTATCCATCTATTTTAAACCTATGTGCTTCATTATAGAGGGCTTAAGTGTTTGGATAGGTGGAGAGCTTTCAATGCCCAGCTTCAGCTTTTCTATAAAGATACATTTTAACGGGAATTTAAGAACTTACCTGTGAGAGGCCTGTATACAGTTCCCACCTCTTCATCACCACAACAGATCAAGTCTTTGCTTACTACTTGTCCACCACAGCACTGCTGATTGAAACCATCATGAAGGGATCCACAACAACAGATCTGATTCCCTGATGTGGAGTAAGGAGTTCCCTGGCAGCAGGCATCACCAACTCCAACTGAAACCCGGTTTTGCTCTTCATTAGGGCAACATATTTCTCCTGTTAAAGGTACAATTAGTCACTGTGTGCCTGCAGGGCTACTGTAAAGGGAGTTCTTCCACTGACTACCATGGGTTCTGGACTGGGTTAGAATAAGACATCTTCATATACAAACTATTTCACATAAAAACATAAGCTCTCTTTCTGTACTTAGTTTCTTAGTGTGTTCTAACATTATAAATGCTTGGGGTAAGAATTAAATTAATATATGCAGTTATGAACTGACCTGGGTTATAGCCCTTTGAAAATGTGGCTCAGGAGATATTAATATGGAAGTGTGGCAAAATCTACATAGAAAAGTAATATAGTTTAAAAAAAACCCTCATAGTTTAAAACATTTTTAATCTATATTAACATTAGTTTAACTCTTGTAGTATAGACAGTGCCAGTCATGAAGAATTCCTATTATTGTGATTCTTTCCTTCTTCAGTGTGGATGTTAAACTTGTTAAAATTACCAAAATCCCTGAATGGTGAAATCTTTAACTGCTTTGTAGCACAACTGCAGACTCATAAATAGCAGAAGTACAAGTTTACTCACCTGACTAAAACTGTTCTCAGAGCAACTATTTACATTGTTGACCAGTTGGAGGAGCCATTTGGTGATTCAGATCCAAAGAAAGTCAGACACTTAAGAGTGCACCTAACTTTAAACATCAGAGTAGGCCCCCTAAGTCTTTACATGATTTAAACTGCACTTCTGTCAGGAATAGTCTCAGAACTGCCAATTAAGAACATACATACAGGTGTAGCATTTAGAAAGACCTAACCAGGAGGTGCACTAACTTGGATCAAGAATGGGTTAACCTGATCTAGGAAGGTGTTAAACAAATCTAGTGAATGTCTGCATATGTTTGCAGTGGAGCCCCAGAGCTGTGCTATTCCCTCCTCCCCTCCCCTCCCCCTGCCCCCAAATCCTGACTGCTATTTTTAGCTCCCTAATCTCCCACCAAGACTAGGTAATCTCCATCGTGAACTCACCCACCCCACTACTAACCTACTAGCTCTCCCCAATCTAACCCACTCCTCTCTCCCCAACCCTGAGTTACTTACATTGGGTTCCCCATGTGGCTCCCAGGAGCTGCAAACACTCATACGTGCCACTTCCAGTCTACATTTAGGTGGCTTAAAGTAAGCTACATGAACATATGTGCAGCAAATGGCTGTACTCACTCTAATTCTGTTGATGATGGTGGGGTGTGATGGGGGCAATTTGGCACTAGAAATAGGAGGGAGATTGCTAATAATTCTATATACAATACCAAGCAGCTGTCAGATGGTAACACTATTCATTTACTACCAATCTGAGTTTGATTTGATTATTTTCCTTTCCTCAAAATTCCTTGGAAGACAAAATATTAGCTGAGTGTGCTATCGTTATTCGTTTCACTTCACTTTGAGAATCTATCCACACAGCTTAGCTCTGGGATACATGTCTACACCTCCCTCTGGCTTCAGAGTTGCAAAAATGGAGACTCCTGCCTTCCTAATTTGTAATCTTCATGCCATTAGCACAATGTGTTTCAGTATATCTAGCACCATCAAGCTGGCCAAACAACATCTGGGAAATAAATATTCCTAGTGAGCACCCTGTATAAATATTTTTATCAAATGAAGTCAATAATAAACAAAAAGACTAGAACAAATCTTTAGAGTATAATTGTTTAGCTATGTAAGTCATATTTTCCTGCATTCCTGAGAATGTAATTTAGTTACTGCACAGAGAAAGGACTTAAAACAGAGACTGCAAATGGAAATAAAACTGATTTTTTTTTTTTTAAGAAAAAGAACTATTAGACATAAGAAACAAAGGATCAGTAACCCTCTCATTAACCTCTCAAAATGGGATCCATTCCAAGCTAGACTTGAAAATGTTCTGTCTCTGAAAACTACCATGCAGTCTTACCAGTTAATTGTTATCCTTATCAAAGAATGACCCACATTAACATTTAGCTTGGGGTTATTAGCATATTTATAAAAAAAGAAAAAAGTGACCAACATTGTTCATGTTGCTGCCCTTTGGAATAAGGGAGTGCATTTAGGAAAAGGATGTTTGCAAAGCATGGATAAATATCCATTACTACTTGCTTGTGGACTCCTGATTGAACAGGAACTCCTTGCAGATACAAGACGGTTTGTGTCAGTGTGCCTTTGTTTCCTGATATAAACAATATTAAGCTAGTTAACAGAGACCACTGGATGGGGATAGAGGTCACAGAATATAATCTTCCTATTTTAGTACATTGAGATTAATGAGGCCAGCAAAATACTTTTCTCCAGTTCTTCCATGTGATAGCATTTTTCTGATGACATCATGGACAGCATTCGAATATTGTGATATATAAATTACTTTTCAAGGGATTGGAACTTGGAATGTGCTGAACATTTTGGCAGAAATTCAAGAACTTCTGAGCATAGAGAACACATGCCAACCCATGGGTAATGCACGCATTTTAGCTCCTGACCTGACAACTGCTCGCAAAGACAAGTGAGTACTGAATGCCCAACAAAAAATCATTTGAGGGCTCCCAGGCCTACATTATTTGAAAATGAACTAGTAAACTAAATAGGGAATATGTGCTTTAAAATGATACTTTCAGGGGGGAAAAAACAGTGTTTTACAAACTCAAATTTTGACATATGGAACTCATCAGATAAAAGGAGAAAAGCAGCCTATATTGTGATATAACATATATGCCTGGTTTATGTGCATGAAAATTGGGTTGCAATACAGATCTGGTACTGAAAAGCAATATTTCTACAAGGGTTACATGCTATTCTCAAGCTGCATTTCCCAGGTCTCAAGTCCTGTACTTCTGCCCAGACCTAAGATTAAAAGTGAGTGGAAGGACTGGGGGTACTTGTACATGTGATGGTCACTGTGACATACACATGATGAAAATGTAATTTGTATGACTTAATGGTGCCATGTGTTACATGTGCACCAGTTTTGAGAGTTTTAAATGACTTTGCATCATTGTAAACTAAACTATATCTGGATGTAGCTTAGTTTACAAAGTTGTAAAATGCAATGTTGCAGCTGTCAGCTTGCTTCCCAGCCACAGAAGAGGTGGGCAGGCTCTGCAGAAAAAGTTTGGGCCCCGCACCACTTCTGCCTTCAGCAGGCACTTGACTCAAGGCAGAAGTGGCGAGGGGTACGATCCTTTTCTTTTTTTTTGATGGAGCCTGCCTGCCTCTCCCACAGCCGGGGGGTGAGCTGCCAGTTGACCAAGTGGCCCCTGAACTGCAGGAGCCCGTCCCTCCATAGCAGCATCACCCTCCAGAGCCACCCAAGCAAGCTGATAGTGGGCCAGGGTCTGCCCTAGCTCAGAGGCAGCACCCAGCTAGAGCCAACTCTTCCCCATGCTTTCGGGAGTGGGGATTGCTGGGGCAGAGTCGTCGGCCCTGCAGGGGACGATGCCGCTCCACGCAAGACAGACACTGGGAGGAGAGAGAACACCAGGAGGAAGAAACGCCGGGTCCTAGTCATCAGGGACTCCCTCCTGCGAGGGCTGGAAGGTCCGATCTGCAGGCCCGACCCCATGTCACGGCAGGTCTGCGTCATGCCTGGGGCTCGGGTCAGGGACATCATGGAGAGGATCCCGGCCTGCATCCGGCCTGCAGACCGGCTGGGTACACACCATTTGCTCTCTCTCTTAAGTGTGCTTAGTAACAAGTTCCCAGAAACACAGTTAAAATGGCTATATTACATGCTTTGGGGGTGTAACACATGAGGACTGGTGTTCACCAGATCACTCTGAAGCACATTTCAAAGGCAGTGAGACATGCCTCTTGTGCTCAGTTCTAATTCACATAGGATGTCAAAGATATACAATGCTTCATGCTAGCTGCAAATGTGAATCAACATAAATGAACCAGTTGTACTGCCAAATTCTGCATTCTATTGGAATTCCACCCAATGAATTAGACAAAGGAGACGGGGGCACAGGTTGGCTGATCTCGTACGGCGAGCTTTAAACTAGCCTCGCCGGGGGAGGTGGCTGCAGGAAGACGAGGAGACGCCATCAAGGCAAGGGGTGCAAAGGTAAGTAATGGGGGTCCTGATGGTCTGCCTAATTGGGGGGGGGGCACACAGTCTTGCAAGGCCTTAAATGCCTGTACACCAATGCTCGTAGCATGGGGAACAAACAGGAGGAACTCGCCCTCAGAATAGCTAGTTCAAATCCAGATGTCGTAGGGTTAACAGAGACATGGTGGGACTCATCCCATGACTGGGCAGTTAACATTAGGGGCTATAGGCTATACAGGCAGGATAGAGAAGGCAGAAAAGTGGGGGGGTGGCACTCTATGTCAAGGAGCACTACACATCCTCTGCCAGCAGGATGGGGTCAGGGGAAGGGCAAGCTGAAGTGCTCTGGGTCAAGATCCAGGGGGGGCAAGGCGAGAGGGATTTGACGGTGGGGGTCTATTACAGACCCCCCAATCAAGAGGAGGAGCTGGACAGGGAATTTTCAGGCCAGCTTGCGGAGACACTAAAAGCAAGGGATGTAGTTGTCATGGGCGATTTTAATTACATCTGCTGAGAGGAGCAGTCAGCCGGGACGGACCGCTCCAGGAGGTTCTTGGCCGAGTTGCAGGACCTCCACTTGATTCAGGAGGTGCACAGTCCCACCAGAGGAGATGCCCTGCTGGACCTGGTCCTGGCCGCAGGCGACGACCTGGTAAGAGGCCTCCAGGTTCTTGACCACCTGGGCAATAGTGATCATCGCATGCTGGAATTCACCATCCAGCGTAGAGTGTCAAGGGCCCGCAGCAAGGTGGTAGCCCTAGACTTCAGGAGGGCCAACTTCAGTGAGATGAGGAGATTAGTGGGAGAGGAACTGGGGTCCTTGAGGGCAGAGGAACTCAGCGTCCAAGAGGAGTGGTCGTTCCTTAAGGAAACGATACTCGGGGCCCAAGGGGTGTCCATCCCGACAAGAAGCAAGGCGGGCAGGAGTGTCCAAAAGCCCCCCTGGCTCACCAAGGGTGTCCGGGAATGCC